ATTTTTTAAGGCTAAACTTACCATATATAAAAATATAAAGTCCTAATCTTATAAAAACTATTAACTTATTGTAAACTGTTAAAAATAATTAAAACATACAAGTTAATCATCAGTTACCTTATAAATGATCAAATTCCTTAATGTGTACAGAATTATACTATAGTCATGCTAAGTACTAATACAATTAATTACAGTTATAAGCTTTATTTAGTCACCTGTATGTTTTCAAAATTAAGCTGAAAACAAGGAAAGTTTGTTCAATTTAGACCAGCAACTCAGTTTCTTGGGTCCCCAACAATGATGCCCCAATGTCAGTAGGAAGTAACCAGAAGAATGACACCTGTGTACCCAACACCCCAATGACTCAATAATAAAACAAAAATGTGGGAATCAAAGGCTCTGGTAGGCCTGAGCACAGCAAACATGGCTCTGGCAGGTCTTGCCCTCTCCCAATTCTCCTTCCTTGCTAACGTGTTAGTTTACAATCCTAAAGCCAGTCAACAAATTCTATTCCCTTATTTGATCACTTTTTCCTCCTAAGGTTGACCAAGGTCCAGTCATAAAAACACTATACCGACCAAACCCATCCAATCAAAATTAATCAGTTCAATCTGATATGGGATTTCCCCTTCCTTTTATGAACTGCCATTTTCCTATGCACCAAGTCTGTCTCCTCTCTATCCAGAGGTAGTATTTTGTCTTTCTGAGGCAAATATCCCTTCCTCTTCTCCCTTCCCTTCTCCACTCTCCTTTTTCCTCTTATCTCCTTTGTCCCTCTGAGGCAAATAAATCTCCTTAGTGATGAGGTCTTTGTGTGATCTGTGCCAACTCCAGTCCTTTCACTCTGACCTTGTGTTTTTTTTAGACTTTTGTAGTGGTGGAGGTAGGTGGTGGGGTGAGGTGGTGGTGGTGGTGATGGTGATGGTAATAAAATTCAAATGAACACAAGAACACAAAGCATTGTGAGGCAGAAATGCTGAATCCACAGAAACCTAGGTGGAGTGGGGTTAATAGTTTCCACTTAAAGCTGAGGCTGCACAAAAATCAGGTGTCTTCTAAGCTCAGGTCACCTCAGAGAGCCTCCCCATGTGCAAGGAATGGTGGCCCAACATGGTAAGCCACCCTTCGGGGGCTGCAGCAAAGTCCTTTCACTCCTGATCACCCAAGCTCCCGCACTGACACTCACTGGGGAACTATACCATGGTATTGGGAGAGCACTGCACAGAATAGTGGACCAAAGCCCTGTTTCAGCAAGCATCCCAACCTTTCTGTAGTCTAAGGAGTGTTCTTGTTCACACAAATCATGGTGCCAAAAATTGGCATGGAGGACAGAGATTGACTATCCCTGTGGAAACAATAACTAATTTTCCTGACTCAGACATAAAAATGGAAATCAGATTTCATTAACATGACTGTTAGAGGAAGCATGAAAAACTGTGAAGACATGATGGACACATCAATAGGCTTGAAGAGCTGATTTCTTCAACGAATCCCCCAAACTTTGCTTTACCGGGGAAGGGCCCAGGTTTCTTAGGAACGTGCTTTAGCTACAGCTGTACCTGGCTTTTCGGTATTAAGATAAACTATCCTACCAAAGTTCTCAGATAATGGTTAGTCATAACCTAAGGGACAATCCTGTGTTTGCAGGACACTAGTTCTGGCATCTCCCCCCCATTCCTTGTTTCCTGGGACAGGTCACATGCATCACAGGTATCTCATGATGAATTCCCACCATTAACTCAGTCCTAAATCTCTGAGGCCTTCCAGGAAGAAAAAAATCGTCGTAGCTAGACTCATGGCCAACTGTTCCCTAGGAGATACCAGAACATTTAAACTGTGAAGGGTCACAGCACAGGAACTGTAAAGGCCTTCTGCTATTGATTCAAGTTTTCAAGTTGAATAACTTGGGAGAAAAACGGCAATATACAATTAGGTGGAAGCATTATGAATGTCCTTTCCCACTTCTCCAGTTCTGCTGTGCAAAGGATGATTCTGGACTGGATTGCAAACCGGGGAATCGGGGATTCCAAGTCAGCTGGTTCCCCAAACTCCCACTAAAGTTTTGGTAAATTTTTCCTCTCTTCGGATCCTTTGCTCTTTTCTGTGTAAACAGGATTGTGGCATCCCTCCTCTCCTTTCTGAGCCTGCCGTGAGATCAAATGGGGGCCCTGTGCTCATAGTCCTCTAAACTAAGGTCAGTCCCGTGGGAAATATTATTCTCTGCAGGCAAACTATGAAGGCCCCGCTGAGAATTCAGTACCGGAGAAGAGCAAGCCCAGCTGTCCTGCAAACTAATTGGGACGTGCATTACATCCACAGCACCTACTGTTGAACAGCCAATGAAAACTGAAGAGAAATGGCAGCTTGTCACAGAGTTCAGCCTTCGGTTCCGTACTGTTTAAACATTCTCACTACATGCTCTCTACTGTTCTCAGGTCACTGAAAAGAAGCCATCCCCACTGCCAATTTACAGCTAGAACCCTTTAGTGAATAAATGCAATTAGCTCAAAAGAACAGGCAGCTGCTGACTGCTGCTCTATGGTGAATGCCTTCGGAAGAACCTGAAAGGCGGCAGGATCCAGGTCCCAAATGGAAACTCTTAAATTGCTCTGGAATGAAGTAGTTTCAGATATACTAGCATCAGGCTGAATAATTAATGCCTTTTCTGCACTGATTTTTGTAATTTTATAATTGCATACTCAATGTTGGACAGTAAACCTCAGGATCAATTTCTTACTACTGCCAGAAATCAATCTACAAATAGCATAGCCAAAGTTTTCAGGACAGAGCCACTGCATGGAAGTCCACTGAGGCACCCCAAAAGCAGCTGACGCCCTGGCTGACGGTCAGGCTGCAATCAGGTTGGCACGCATATCACATCTGTCCAAAATGCCATCTTCTGGCTGAGGAATATTTCTTTTTCTTTCTTTGATTATGTGATAGTTTCAAGTTAAGAGTTTAATTTCCAGCACTTTTAAGTGTTGCAGGCACACACAACATTCCAGGGTTATCACCCCATGAAGCCATTTTGCTCAGTACCAGCCCAAAGTGAGGTGTGAAGCTTTAACATCTTGAAGCCTGTCACTCTCACTGGACCCACCACTCTTAGGAAGGTCTTTATGGCTCCTTTGGTTTGGCTTTTCTTTCACTGCTCTCGGGGCTATGCTTCAGTCAGCCTTCTACACTTCCCCATCCTTCCACTGGAACTAAATTTGCTGTGGGGAGATGCATCTTTATTGTTCTTCAGAGTCTGCAAGAACCACAGAGCAAACTCGATGGTAAAATCAACTCTTGGAGATAAAGATCCAATGGCCAGTACTTGCCCTACTACAGAGCCACATCACCAGTCCCTACAAGTTACCATCATAGTTTGACAATTAAGGCAGAACTTCTGTGCACATTAAGCCAGGCAGGCCTCGAAGTTCCGTAGATGTTGCCCTCTGTACCCAGTTCAGCAAATAACTCAAGACTTTACTCTGGAATGTCACCTACAGGCTCTGGCTTTAAGAAATTATTCCCCGGCTGGTAGAATTATCTGGGGAGGCTGTGGTATTTTGAGGAGCAAGGTCTTAGTAGTCAGAAGTCTAGGGGAGGGTCTTCAGAAGTTATACTGACCCTGGTTCTAGTCTGTGATCTGTGCTCCATGTACGTCTCTGCCTCCTGTGCCTGCTGTCAAAAATGGAGCCACTGTCTTTTCCGCTGGGCCGAAACATTTCTGAATCTGTGACTCCCCTCTGCCTCTCGGCAAAAACCCCAAACAAACAAAAACCAAAACACTATCCTCCCTTCAACTGATTCCACCAGGCATTTTGTCACGGAGACAAGAAAAGTAACTATACTCCTGTAAGCCTAGTACCAGACAGTGGGAGGGTACTGTGTCACATGTGAGGAAAAGAAAGGGGAAATTTCACTCTCACAATTCCCTGGAGATGCCATTGCCACAGTCCATTTATCAAGCTAGCGCCCCCTGTAGGGCTCTGGGTACTGCCACCTGACTTAAGCTGTTTTCTGATGCGCAGACTTGTTTTCCCCTTTTGATTCTACATTCTCAGAACCATACTGACAAGTAATTTAACACAGTGGAAGAGCAGCTCAAAGCCTGGCACATAGCCAACATTCTTCCTTCCATACTAAACAACAACAGAGCCACCCTGCCTAGAGTCGTATCTTTGTAGACAGTCACTTGGTGTTTTTCAGGTTGTCATTTCTCGGCAGCCTCAAAGGATTTGCATACCATCTTGCAATGCAGCCAGCTCATGGCACTTCACTGGACTTGGTGCTTTGGTCTACATGGGTGATCAAGGCTGGAATCCACTCACTCAGTACCTAGTTGGGCATCCCATGGCTGATCACTGTAGACTACCTTGGTGTAGCCAAATCCTATCCTTTAAACTGGGACTCTTTAAAAGTCCTCCTTCCCTGGAGTCATCACAAAACATCTGACCCAAGATACTTCCATAAGCTTCTGTGTCTTGGAGACTTCTCAAAACAGCAACAGTTGGCAATGGTCTAATCTGTCAAATTCGGAATGTTGTGTTAACTTCACAGAGCATTCACAAAAGCGCAGGACACATTACAGAAATCAGCAAGGTCCAGTCCAATAGCTGTTAGCCTCCATGGGGCTACAAAGCACTTGAAATGTAGTTAATGTTACTGGCAAAGAAAATTTCTGATATCAATTAGTTCTAAGAGTTAAGTTTAAACAGCTGCAAGTAGCTAGTGTACAAGCATGACAGCACAAATCTAAATGGTTCATATTTTGAAAATGATGGACAGCTTCTAGTTAAAAGCATTTAACAAAAAGAGGAGGAGCTCAGTAAATATTTGGTGCCTTCCAATAACTTCTTTCATGCCTTCTGGGTTATTTCAAAGGAAAAGGGGGGAAAAAAAGCAACAATTAAAAACCCATACTACTTAACAATCTGATTTCAATGTAACTAATGATTTTTAATATGGGAAGTGGCACAAAGAAAATAAAAAAAATAGAAAAATAAGCATTCTAGAAGTTATGTATGTTTAATGCTTAAAAGTCTGAATGCACAAACAATCTACCATCATAGAAGTACTGGTGGCCAATACAATGCGTTAGAACTATGTACAATGCACAGTTTAGTATCAAAATCTTTCTACACTGTAGAGTTTTATGAAACTGTTAATGACATCAAACACTAAGCACTTAAGACACCATGTTTTGCTACCACACGAAGAACGTCAATGACAGTCCATTTCAACTTGCAGCATCCATCCATTGCTAGTATGAAATTAAATGATTTTCTACTTATACAATAAAGTTTATCTACACAGTTCTTTTGATTTTGATCCATAGCAGCAAAGGCACTGTACATCAGCAGATCCACAGACTTAAAAGATCTTTTTAAAGCATTCAAACAAAAAATAATAATAAAAAAGGAGTCACATGTTATAGTTTAACAGCAACAACAACAACATAAAAGATAACACAATGTTTCTGGCACAATGGCACAGCCTGTGTCCATTTTAGGGACATCCAACTAAGACATGGAAAGAATCAGAGGTAAAGAAAGCAAGTCGTCATCCCAGGAGAGTCTCTTCTTTGTGGCCTTCAGAGGAGGGCTCTGTAAAGCCTCCTCTGTGGGCCTCTTTTTGTGAAAGACTTGCCTTGCACAGCGGTAGGCAGACAGCACTCCTGCACCTGCAGCTCCTAAAGAGCATGCCACAAAACAGCCCGCCATGGCTCACAGCGACACAACTGCCCAGAGACACACAGCTCCCTTTGCCAGTAAATTTGGCAAAAATATTTGGAAGAAGTTAAGTTCTCTCTTTGAGGCCCAATTTAATTTCTTTATCCGTCTATAATACAATAAAAAAAGGGAATTAAAAACATATTACAAAGATACTTGTCAACAAGTAAAAAAAAGAAAGAAAAACATCCAATTATTTTTTAATATAACCTAAAGTTATAGACATATTGGTTAAAGATGCCCAAAAAGACTCCAAGAAATAGTACTTGGCTTGTCATATTCTACTTATTCAGCCAAATTTCCAAGTGTTTTTAATATAAGTAGAAAACAAAACAACCTCATAACAATACAGCAACATATTGCTTCCATGTGTAATTATACATTTCATGTCTTTATACAGTCAATAGTCTACATTTAGTGACATTTTTAATCCGTTATTTTAAACCTTCCTTTCCCTTCCCTTACCAAAAGCGAGGGGGTGGAGCATCAAATACAATGCGCCTTCATTATCAATGCAGGAGCGGACAGCTTTATTTAGTCAGTCATTGTTAGAAAGCCTTCTTTAAACAAAATAAATATATTACAGATATAATACATAATTAAAGATTCCATTCACTGTTAGGTATTCCATGTTCTTCCAAGTCGATAGCTGAAGATTTGGTATCACAGGTTCTTAAATGAGTATTCACAATTCAATAGCAAAGAGGAAGTGGGGCTTTGGAAAGGGATTAAACTCCACAACTGCAATGAGTATTGGAAATCCTTGGTTTTAGATGTGGGAGAGGGGGTGGAAAAAAAAAAGTACAACAGCGCAAAGTGCTACAAGGAGGAGTCCAGTTTGCACGAAGATTTGTCCTTAATAAATAACTTCATAAACCGTAGCCTTCTTGTCCCCAGAGCCAGTGACAATATACTTGTCATCCACAGAGATATCACAGCTAAGCACCGATGAGGATTCTTTGGACTAGGGAAGAAACATATTAAGAATATCACATACAGTTACTAAGAAGCAGGATTGGTTATGGAACAAATACACAGGCAACATGTTCCATGGAGCACCCAGAAGCAGGTATACGGCAGTCCCAACATTTCTAAATATGGCAGTATTACAGCCAATCCTTGAATGCTTATCCATCACTTAGACTAATGGTTCTTGCCCATGAGGCATCAAAGAGACAGTTAACTCAATGGGCAGAGTGCTCTGTCAAGAAGCGAGGCCCTGTTTTAAATTTTATTCCTGGGGCCAGAGAGAGCTCAGTGGTTAAGAGCACTGGATGCTCTTCCAGAGGACCTAGGTTAAATTCCCAGTCCCCACATGGCAGCTTACAACTTTCAGTAACTCCAGTTCCAGGGAATCTGACACCCTCCTCTGTTTTCTTTGGGCCCCAGGCATGCAATATGGTGCACAGACACGCAGGCAGACAAAACACAAAGTGAAAGAAAATTAAAACCAAACAAAAAGCAAAAAAAAAAAAATAAATAGTCTCTATAAAGCATAGAGTTTAAGATATGAGAAACTCTCAACTGCTATTGCCAGGTGGCCTGAATCTGGGCTGTGCCACAGAGCAAGTGATGGAAGATGCTAGTAAAAATGCCCAACACCACTAGAATAAAACATAAAAACATGTACGAGTTCAATAGTTGGAACAGAAACACATTCCATTTAAGGGTATGTGCATGGAGGAAATGAAGGAATGAGGGCAGACCCCACACAGGTTTTAAACCAGGACCCTGAAGAATACTTTGAACATTAGAAACTATAAATATAAGATGGCTACCTAATACACTGAATGTCTCTCAAACTTTTCTAACTATAACTGTTAATTAAAATTCCCAAGTCAGCATATACATAAGATATAATACTTGTATTTTATATAAAAGACAGAGTCTAATATTTTTTTCTTTCATTTGTTCACCCGAAAGATCACAAAACCTCCAGTATTAAAGTATAAGCTTCAGTCAGGGATGGTGGTGCACGCTTTTAACCCCAGCACTTGGGATGCAGAGGCAGGTAGATATCTGGAAGTCTCAGGACAGCCAGAAATACATAGTGAAACCTGGTCTCATATAGAGAAAGAGGAAAGGTACAAGCGGCGTCATGGTAGCTGTTTTGTCATGAGGATAGCCTTGCATAGCATTCTATTCTGGATTCGGATAACTAATCTGCTTTATGATGACTTAATGTCACCTTGTTAATGGACCTGGAAGTCTGTTGTATTAGTCCCAAATATGGAACAAAAGATAACAGTCTAACTACAAATTAAGAATAGGAAGTCATTAACTTGCCTATGAAATCCACACATCTGTAAAAAGAAAGGAGAGGATTTTGTGTGCATGTCTGTGTTTGTGCCATGTCTAAATTTGAAGTTTTTACAAATAATTTCCCCACAAGGTTCAACTCTTCTACTAAGAACAGCAAATTTGTAAATTCAATCCAGTTCAACAGAACTTTTCTGGAATATTCCTGGGAAAAAGAGTTAGTTATATTTAATTATATAATATTAATTAATTATAAAAGAAAGTGAGCAAGAACTAGAAGAAAACCAACAGTACTTAAGGCGTTTAAATTTAAAAAAATACTCAAAATTTAAAATAAAAATGTTTAATATACATAAACACAAAAATGTCCCTAAATGACCTAAAACTCCCACAAGAAATATAAAAGAGGATTGAGTCATGGGTAATACAGGATTTGCTGTGACATTAAGGTTCAGAAATTGCAGCAAAAGGCTAGTGCTATAGCTTGTGGCTGAGCAACTAATCCTCCTCCCCGCTTCTAGCAGGTTCTTGCTTTGCCTGTTAGAAATGGTATCAGGTGCCCAACATATTTTCAGGATGCACGAAGATGGCACAGCTAAACCAGGACAGGTAGCACACAACACCAGTACTCAGCAAGCTAGGTATTACCTGGAATATGCTGGCCCCGTAAGGTGTCCTCCAAGCATTCAGAAGGTTGTCCTTTCCAGTGCTCACAAACCATTTGCCTACAGGAAGTGAGTTTAGTGTTATTTTATAATTTGCTTCACAGAATGCTGAATTAACATTCCATTTATAACAAATAAGAATGCCCTTGCCTTCCAAAAATAAAGCCCACCCTCCTTCTGGATTTCATGAGCCACTGATTGTTAGGATAAGGAATAAAGTGGATTAAGGCTAGCAATTTACATAGCTTACTAGGGAAGCATGCATGGTTAAGGAAGCTATATAGCTGTAAAGAAAGACACATTAACAAAATAAAAGACTCAACTTTGAAGGGATCAACAGAAGAACCAAGCAATCATTCTGGTTGATAGAAAATGAACAAAAGGGACTGCTTACCACAGTGGGCAAACTTCAGTGACAGCACACAGCTCTCATGAAGATGCAACTGGTATTTGTCAGGCTTGGTGACATGCAACACTTCCACATTGCTATTCTCCATCCCCACTGCAAGCCACTCTCCAGTTGGGCAATAGCCCAAAGAAAAGATCTGAAATTAAAACAAACGATGGTAGCTATACAGGACAAAGCCTTCTTAACCAGGAGGTATGCTCTCTCTTTTTTTAAAAAAAATTTATTTATTATGTATACAATATTCTGTCTGTGTGTATGCTTGCAGGCCAGAAGAGGGCACCAGACCTCATTACAGATGGTTGTGAGCCACCATGTGGTTGCTGGGAATTGAACTCAGGACCTTTGGAAGAGCAGGCAATGCTTTTAACCTCTGAGCCATCTCTCCAGCCCAGGAGGTATGCTCTTAAATATAGAGGACATCAACAAAATCTGCAATAGACAGGAAGAACCAAGTCTAAGAAATGATCTCTAGCAGATCCATGTTCAAGTATTGTAATGATATTGTTTGTAATCTAACAAATAAAGCTTGCCTGAAGATCAGAGTGTAGTGCTAAGCCACTAGTTAGCCAGGCAGTGGTGGCTCACACTTTTAATCCTAGCACTTGGGAGTCAGAGGCAGATGGATCTGAGAGTTCAAGGCCACCCTGGGCTAGGGAGATTTGTCTAAAGAGAAACAGAGCTCACTAAAGGTGATCCCAGCACTTGGGATCATATGCCTTTAATCCCAGCACTAGGAAGGTGGAGACAGGAGTGATATGGCTGGGAGGAAAGAGGAATATAAAGAGGGGAGGAGACAGGTACTCATCTGCAGTCTGAGGTTTGGTAGAGGGGGATTCAGTCTGAGGATTCATAGAGACAGGACCACTCCTTCTGTCTGAGCATTGGTAGAGGTAAGAACTCTCTAGTGGTTCGTGCTCTGCTTCTCTGATCTTTCAGCATTAACCCCTATATCTGACTCCAAGTTTTTATTGTAAGACCAATTAAAAATTGTGCTACAAAGCACATTTTCTTTTAATAGGCTACATTACCCACACAGTCCACACCTGAGAGGTGAAGTCATGCTGTTGCAGCTGACGCCCTTCACGCAGGTCCCAGGATCTCACAGTATTGTCTAATCCACCTGTCCAGAGCTTGGTACCATCATTGGAAATGTCAATACAACTGGCTCCATCTGTGTGGCCCTGGAATTGCCTGAAAATATAAAATGGAGGGAAAGCCCTTGAAACGTTAATTTTTATTTTAATTCAATTAATTAATTGAATTCAATTAATTGTGAACGCTCTGCTGATAAAATTCAGTGCAGGCTTTATCTACAGATCTCATTTGGTTTATGCTTTCTAATTATTCAAAATAATAGTAAAACATATCATGTAACTGTGTCTAGCTGTGCAGGAGAGAAAGGACATGCTCACAAGAAATACCCAATGTAAGTACATTCAGTGTGATCCTCTGCCCAGGGTCACTTCTGATAAAATGTACATGGGGTATGGAGGAAAGAGTTCAAAGTGGGTCCCCACCACACAGTCAAAGATGGCATTGAATATCTGAACCTTACCTGAAAGGTACAAGAACAACAATTATTTTGTTTTTGGACTGAACTTAGTAGTCCTTCAAGATAAGACCATACAGGGCTCTTTTCTTCCGCACACGCCCTCTCCATCATAGTGAAAGTTCCCAATCTTCTCGTATCCGTTCCCTGATTATAATGCTCATTCTCATTTCTCAAACTATAATGCTGTTGTCTACCTGTTCTTAACTATGAGAACAGACAATTTAGGCCATGTGAGCATTCACAGCAATCTATGAGTACTGGGCCCTTGGCAAGAGCCATACAACTGCTGGTGAAGTTGTGACACACTCAGCACCTAAACTAAACCATATACTACCTCTTCTCACTGAGGAGTAGGGGCAATGATGGTGTCAGCAGGCACAGATAACAAATTAAAGATACCTAGTGAACCCATGAGGTACTGACAACATTCTGTACGTAAAAATGACCTTCACTTCTAAAAATCTAAATCAGTAACGCTTAGTGTGTGTGTGTGTATGTGTGCACACATGTAAAACAAAACATTCATTTTATAAAATATAGTGGGGAAGTAAGATATTACAGTTAAAAATTTTCATTATCTCTAAAGTTTAAGAACGCTGTATTCCACCCAGACAAACATCTACACAGTCAGACAGTTTTGAGCACCATGTGGTAAATTAGCTCTCCCTTATAAAGAAAAAGTGGGTTCAGCAGACCTACCTCACCAGAGTCTGGTTGTGCAGATCCCACACTGCGATGTTGCCATCACTACAGCATGAGAAGCAGACCTTGGAGTCAGGGCTGATGGCCAGAGCATAGCAGGCAGGGGCTGAGGATGTCAGCTCTGCCTTGATGCGTGGGGTTGGAGCTGCCAGGTCCCAGATGGACAGTGTACTAGCTTCCCCTCCAACAATTAAGGTGCGACCATCAGGGAGCAATCTGCAGGAACGGATGTAGTTATCCCTGTTCTATGGAGACAAAAGCCATCACAAAATTACCCATGAGGAAAGAAAACAGCATTAACACGAGAGCAGGAATCCATAAAAGTATTGTGTTCCCTTCTGGTTTAATGAGCCATTTATACTTATGACAATGATAAAGTAGATTAATGCTACAAAATTACATGAAATTAAGGAAGTACTTAAGCTTGATCTACAAAATTTAGTACCAAGATATTTAATCTTAATTAGCACCCAAATGCACAGATCTAGTCCCACTCCCGCTACCAAATTAAGCAGCCGTGGACGTAATCTGCATACACAGATAACATGGGTCTGCAAACAAACCACTACAATTCTCCAAGCTCTGAAGCCCTGGCATATTTTGCTGAGGATGAAGGGTCCTGGTATTGAAACCACATCACAGTTAAAGTCACTTGGGAGTAGGCACTTTTGGCCTAGCTTTGCTATGTATGACTAACAGGCAGGAAATGTTTCCCCATACATGAGTTTATGGAAATCTTACATAAATTAAATTATGTTATATTGAATGTTACATTAAAGGACTGTTCTGGTATAAGGGAAGAAAACTAAGGTGCAATTTCCTGTACAATCCAAGGACAAATGATAACAGACCAGCTAAGGAACTGGGAAGCCACATGAACAATTGACTTAAAGTTCTCAGGTATGTTCTGGTAGAAGCAATGTGTGAACTCTTAGCGTTCTTGAACCAAGTGATTTACTTTTGACCCTGAGAACAGGGTGAATGCAGATTGTACAGATGCACATACTATACATGAAGAACTGGACCACTCTGAGAGAAACCCCCCACCTATCTTCTTGGGACTGCTATGGTTATCTCATCATCAGGGTCTTTCTTTGTCATCCCTGCTCACTTACCAGGCAGTCCAGTTGGGAGACTGGGCTCTTGTTGCCAGGATGGCTGATGTCCCAGACCTTTACACAGCCCTTGCCACCTGTGTACACGTGCCTTGTGGGATTGCTGATGGTCACTGCACACACCACCTCCCCATGGTTGAGGGTGTTGATCTGCCGAGCATGTCGAGGAATCCCGGGTCCAATGAGGGCATCAGGGGGAAAGGGGACAGGCTGCATCTGGCCATCGGCACTAACATGAAAGGAGTATGCTCTAGGGCACAAAAAGGAAAAACAGGAGGAGGATAATGTAGGAAGCATTAGCGTTTGTTTTCTTTTGAGACAGGGTCTTATGTATCCCTGGTTGGCCTCAAACTTCCTATATAGAGAGTGGGGAGTAACCCGTCTGTCTCTACTTCCCATGTGCTATGATTAGAGGTATGCACCGACATGTCCGATTTAAGCAGTAATAGATATCAAAACCTAGGTTTCATACATAATAGAAATACATTCTACCAACTAAGCTACATTCCTTGAAAATGTCATTAAACCATTCAATATAACAAAAGAGAAAGAAAATCCTTTCAGTGTAACTTGAGATCTGTTAAAACAGAAATCAAATTTATCTGGTACAGCAAAATAAGCTTCAAAGTCATGGGGCTTGGTCCATAACCGAATACCAACTAGCTGTTTAACAGTTGCCGTGTGACCATCAGTAGTTACCTAGCCCCCCTAAATTCAATACTAACTTCAAAAGGGAGAGAATGAGTCTATATCTTACAGAGAATTAAGTGGGATAGCTAACATCAAATATACATAGTACCTATTTTTTTCCACTCTAAACCTTCATTGCTTTGTATTTTTCAGTGGTTCCATGGCCTGCACCAGATTTTACCTATAGATGGATTCATTCCAACCAAATGAGTTATTAATGGAGGTGACTAAGCTAAAATTCTAAAGCTCTGAATAGTCTCATTCTGTAGGTGAAAATGGTGAGATGGCAGATATGCCAAAAAATAGTTATAACACACTGATTAGACAAATTCTAAAAAAATCCAAAAGGAATAACTTGAAAAAGTGTTCTGCCTGACAGCCCCAAGGCCCACCTTACTTATATACAGTATTTCCATTTCCAGTCCATACCCTTAAAAGCCCTGTAGTGTGAAAACATTTGGCTTTAAATCTTCATCAACAGATTCTACCTTTAGGACACAACTGTTAGCAAGGGAATAGTGAGGCTGTAGGGATGCAGGTCAACTTTAGGAGAAGCAGGTGCCAATAGCAGGTGGGAAGGTGCTGAGCTTATTGTGGTAGCTCCTAGGTACCACACCCCTTTTTGAGAAATATGTACCATAGCAGAGAAGGTATTTATGGGTGTATGGAAGACAGGGACTTGGACTAAACCATGTGCAGGATAAGAATCAAAGCTAAGATAGTGTGGTGGTTTGAATGAGAAATGCCCCCAAGTTCTAAGCCATTTGAATACTTTTGTTACCCAGTTGGTGGCATTATTTAGGGAGCTTTAGGTGATGCACCCTTGCTGGAGGAAGTAAGGAGGGCTTTGAGATTAAAAGCCTCCTGTCACTGCAGTTTGTTCTGTTTCCTGCTTGTATTTGAAGATGTGTGTTCTTAGCTACCAGTTCCAGCCACCATACCAGGCTCTTACTGCTTCCTTGCTATAATTATAATAGACTCTAAACCCTTTGGAATCATGAGACAAAAGGAACACTTTCGTCCACAAGTTGCTATTAGTCATGGTGCTTTATTATAGCAACAAAAAAGTAACTAAAATCAATAGTTTATAGCTCTTTACTGCAAAAGTCTAGGCTGGTCATGTTTACAAAAAGTTAGCCCATCATTGAGGGTTTGCCACAGCTGCTTAAGAGAAAGGTTGAAAAGCTGAGAAGTCAACAGAGAGTATTTTCTAAATCAAATAAAGAGGATAAAGAGGACTTGGAGTCACACCAATTGTGACCTCAGAGAGTGAGCTTATGAGGAATGTGAACACAGATGGTGGGAATGTTAGGTGCAAGAGCTACAATTCATAGGACCTGACTTATGAATAAGCAAGATAAAGCTTATTTTTTATACTGGAAAAAATGCTTGGATTCTGGAAGCAACACTTTGGGTAATGATGCAAGCTTTTAATACAGGCAGTTAAAACTGAGTAGACAGATTTTTACCACTTAGTTGTTATGTTTTTAATGACAATTCTTAAAAAACAAAAACCCCTTCCAAGGATCCCTTCACTAAATAAGTTCTAAAGAACTTTGAGAATTTAAATAGTTAAACAACTTTCCTTCAAGGTTTTAGCAAAATTTCCATCAATATAATACTCTGAGTGATTAATATTAATACTATGTGACCTCTGGAGCCCAACTACATGAAGGACTGGAAAAAACACTCTTTAGCATTTTTATTACTAGGAAAGCTACTCAGGCTTCTGGGGAAACAATGACAGTTTCCATTCGTATGGTAGTGGAAACTTCTGGTCAAGATTGAAGGAAAAGAATTGAGCATAAGGCTCAGAAGCATGGTGAGCCAAACAACTTGTAATTCTACAGTAGTCTAACTGCTATGACCCTTAGACCAAGGTAGCTACTGCTTCTTTAAACATTTTTTTTGCATAAAATGTAAAAGTTTTCATATATGTTATATGTTCATACATATATATAATATATGAAGATAAATTTCAACCTTAAAAGTGTAAAAAGAATATAATTTTAAAGAAAGATCATTTAAAAAAATTTGAACAACTAAAATTTCATTCAGGATTTATAAACAACAGTGTCTTAACTTATATTCCAAGTACGATTACACTCCTGTGGCTTCAAGGCTGACATGCATGCAGTACGAACCCTCACCTTATCTACTCTACTACCTCTGCTGGCTACTACTTGGACACTGTTAGCAGCACCTAAAAAAGACTGTACCTCTTCTCTAAAGGAGCCCTTTCATCGCATCTCAGTTCACATGGAACCAGAGCATCTTAGTTGTTATTTGATTAATCCCATGCCTCGTTATGTAGTCACTGCTTGAAACAGACCAATCTTTCACCTTCAGAGTTCTTGGTCAACAAAACTTGTTAGTCAGTCAATCACTATTTGCAGAACATACACAGGTACACAGAATTTTATGGTAATTGATATTTATGTCTTCAACTCTCAAGGAACTCAAAGTCTAATTTGCCTTGTTTCCCTTATTAATCAGCCAAATATTTACTGAACAACTTGGCTATGGAGCCAGCACTGTTTGATGTGACTGGGACATTTGGGTTGTAGTCTGTAAGTTATAGGAGGAAGAACCTTGAGCTTTATTCAACAGATAGAAGACAAGAACAGAGCCAAGGCCAGCCAGGTGTGCTTAACACTGAAGGGTAGGTGTAATGGGACAAAAAGAACACAAGGAGACACTAAGGCAACAAACAAGTGTCTATGTAATACTGAAGTAACAAGCAAAGGGAAGTTAGAGAAGGAAGAAATCAATGTACATTTATTTACTCTTTGAACAAACCAACACTGTGAGCATCAATTGTGCCTAAGTAGTATTTAAGGGATTAGAAGTTCCTTTGCCTGCCTTCCTTCCTTCCTTCCTTCCTTCCTCCCTCCCTCCCTCCCTCCCTCCCCTCCCCTCCCCTCCCCTCCCCTCTCTCTCTTCTTTCTTTTTGGAGACAGGGTTTCTCTGTGTAGTTCTGGCTGTCCTGGAACTGACTCTGTAGACAGGCTGGCCTTGAACTAAGTGATCCACCTGCTTCTGCCTCCAGAGTACTGGGATTAAAGAAATGTGCCACCATCACTACTTTGGAAGTTACTTCTTAACTGAATATTCATTACTGATGGGAATGCTATCTGGTACAGTCACGGTGAAAATCAGTGTGGGGGTTCTTCAAAAAACTGATCTATACCACCCTTGGTTTATACCCAAGGGATTCTACATCTTACTACAGAGATATTGTTCATCCCTTTTCATTCCTGCACTATTCATAACCACCAGAACATGGAAACAGCCTAGATGTCCATCAACAAATGAATGGATAATGAAAATGTGATATATTTACACAATAGAATATTTATTCAGCTGTTGAAAAAAATGAAACCTACAGGTAAATAGATGGAACTAGAATCAGTCATCCTGAATGAGGTAACTCGGACCTCAAAAGAAATATTGCAGGTTTTCTCTTATATAAAAACGTAAGTTTTTAAGTTTTAGATGTCTGTGGTCCATATAAAATATCTAGAGGTTAGGTAATTATACTAGTAAGCGGCTAAGAGTTTTCCAAGGACGGGAAAGCAGAATATAGTGTTATAAAGGGATAATGGAGATACCAAAATAGAAAGATTAAATGAGGAGAAGGATGGGAGGGAAGGGTAGAAAAGGGAATATGGGGAGGGATAACTAACACTTAAAACCTTTTGAAAAACCACATGGAAACTTATTATAGAAACTTCCTAAGATATATACATATATAGAAGGATTTTCAATGGAGTTAACATAATAGTAGAGATAATAATCCAACTAGACACCATATGTTACCAAACAAAACCCCCAGTACCAGGAATGTGTTATGACTTTTTGACTAAGGGCATTGCATGGCCAGCGCTACCCCTTGGACAACATTATAGGCTATTGTCAATGTTATTAGTTCACTCCACAACCTGATGGTTAGAACTTATTGCTGATGACATCACATACTTATGTCTTTGAATATGCAAAAATTGAGCTGCTGCTCAACTATAAGCTTCATGCCCTATTGATCAGTGTTCACAGTGCTAGAAGGCACTAGACTATGCATGTTATAATCTCATTCAGCTATGAACCCTTTGAGATATAATAATGACTTGCCTGGAAAATGTACCCCAGCAAAATATACTGATTACAAGTGAGACACAAATCTTATGGGAGTAACTAACTACTTTTTTTTATTATTAAAGTTAAGGTTCACACTTCATGAGAAGGAACTCATAGTGACACTGTTGATTAGGCCAAGAACCCGAGACGAGATAGGTCATAGGCCTTAGGGGAAACCCTACTAGTTATTTTGCAAAATGAACATAGCAATAAAACAACTCTTAATGACATACTGTTATACCCACAGATACTCATTAGTGCATTGCTCATCAGAGAAGTTGCTTCTTGCAGATGGTAATTAACATAGAGACCCACCACTGAACAATGTACAGCGTGAAAGACATAGGGTGCTCGGTTCCAAATGTGATGTTTGTATCCCCTCATAGGCTCAGGGATCTATGTGGAAGAGGAGGTGGAAAGATTCTAAGAGCCACAGCTAGGAGATGATTCCAAGGAAATAACATTTTTTGACACAACAGACCTGATGCACATATGAACTCATAGCAACTGTGACATTATACATAAGACAGCAAAAGTTCAAGCTAGATAAAATTCCAGCATGGAAAAGTGGTAGTAGGCACAGAGTACCAAAATTAAGCAAGAAGGTATTTACAACTGATAGCTGAGAGGGAAAATCTTCAATGGAGCAATATTGCATGTATCAACCACTCTGTAGGGCAGGCCTCATTCAATATTGAATCCATATTTATTTGTGTGTGTTTGTATGCTTTTGTTTGTTTTATTGAGAAAGAAAGACCATGAAGTTGGGTGGTAAGGAGGCTCTGGGAGGAGTTGAGGTGGGGCAAGAATATGATCATAATATCTTGCATCAAAACAAACAAACAAACAACAACAACAAAAATCCAAAACCAAAAAGGCCAGCACCAGATATGTTCTAGCTATACCAGTTGGGACTTCTCAACCCCACAATTATGAATCAATGCATTTCTGAACATTATATTAAAAGAAAACAAAATTAAAAAGTCCTATTGTGATGTGCTTTTACAGAACTTATATTTATAAGTGGGGAGAGGCACACAATGGCTACAAGTAAGCATTCAAAAGCTGGGTCCGATAGTATCTCTCTACTATCAGCCCAACACTTACAAGGCAGAGGTAGAAGGATAACAAATTCAAGACCAGCCAGCTTGGGGTACACAGTGAAACTCTACCTCAAAAAAAAAAAAAAAATCTAGAGGAAGACGACAGTAGGGAGGAAGGCAGAGAGTGATGTTATTTGTACAAAGCGAGTATGGCAGAATGCTCTGTTAAGAGGGCATCTAACAGAGACCTGAAGTGAGACAGTGAGTCATAGAAAATGTTGACAGAGGGTCATCAGTAAGAATAAATGCCAGAGAGACAGACTCCGTCACGTGTGGATAGTCAAGACTAGGGACGCAGCATATGTATGGCAGGTACAATCTCAGCAAAGATGTAATCAAGACTGATGTGTGTGTGTGTTTCCTAAAAGGGAAGAAAAAACACTTTTTTCCTCTTTTCTTTCTTTTTTCTCAAAGCCAAATACTCACTTTAGAAGTTCTTTCTTTGAAGACCAATCTAATTAGAACTGTGTTTAGGTAGTGAGGAACAAAAGAGTGCAAGCGTCCCGAAACCAAGACTGGGGAATGGGATGCGGTGAGATTACACATAGAAAAGAGGCTAGAAGAGGAGTGTTGTACTCGGCCTGTTATCACTCCAGGGCAGTGTGAACAGACATTCCAAATGCTCAGTTAACAGTAAAGAAGCCAATGAGCAGGCTTCCTTTTCTGGAAATAGAACTGAGCAGAAGACTGTCCTGTTTTCTTTTCTTTTCTTTTTTTTTTGAAAGTTCAGCATGTCTGTTCTCTATATGTTCAAATTCTAATTATCTAAGTTTGCATATAAACATCACACTTTCTGAACACTACTGCCTTGAAATCAGTAACAGACACGGAGAAGCACTGACTGCCAGAGCACTTTCACAACTTACATTTTTATATGAGGGCTTGATTTTAAACTAAAAATCCTATGCCTTGCCTTTTGCTAAGAGAAAATCAAGCCCTATTCCTATTCAGCAATGCCCAAATTCCAAAAGTAAGGCAAGGACTAGAGCTTGGCAGCATGAATCCAAAGGGACAAAAGGTACTCACGGTTTTCCTCCTGGAATGCCTGTCAAGTTTGGAGGTATTGCTGGCACACCACGCATATGATGGTGTGGATCAAATCCCACCTAAAATTGTCCCATGCAAAACAAAACAAAAAACGAGACATTCATTTGCTATACCTTGAACAATATGGCACTTAAAGCCTAATATACATTATTTGAAAATAAGATTTGAGACATTTACAGAAGTAATTATTGATAAAATGAAAGAATGTTTAGGATTTAAAGGGTCATTTATTCAGGTCAGGAGAATAGAAAAAAATTAAACTACTGACTGTTGAAGTTTATTAGAGAAACAAAAGGTTTTTTTATTTTCTTTGGGGCCCAATTTTATAGTTTAAAATGTCAAAATGATTACTATATTTTAAGAAGTCACAAACTTTCTCATCTTCCCAAAGAAAATAATCAAGACATAATCCACATATCTTAATTTATACAGAAACATTCTGATTCTTCCATAAATACCTTGTATTATATAAACTACATTAAAAAGAATGCAGGACAATGCTGTGTGTTCCCAAACTCTATTATAAAAGCAGGTAAACATACCACAGGTGATCTTCCATAGGCTGCTGCAGCTGCGGCGGCTGCTGCAGCTGCACTCATCTGGGGGGAGATGTTGTGTAGCCCAGCATAAGCAGCTCCAGGGCTGGTCAGCTCCCCATTCATCCCAGCATGGGGCACAATCCCAAAGGGGGTTGGATATGGACAAGGTACAGCCATGGGTGTCCTTAGGCTCGATGCTGAAGAGAAAACCAAAAATACAGAAAACTGTAGTAGCACATTGTTTGATTCGTTAATAACATAACCCATAATTCAAATGAACTCATTTTACTATTCTTAAAATCATTCAATCCTTTTGGGTATCCATTCCATTTTTCTGAATACTTAACACGTGCTAGACATGGGTGGGGTGACATGCTTAATTTGGAACACTTACTTTGTCTAATGGTCAGTGCAGGTTATCACTACTTTTAACAGATTGCATTACTTAAGTCACTTAAAATCTTTTTGAAAACAGAAGTAAGTATACAGTATTTCCCCCCTTACTAACCTAAGGGGTCCACACCTGGTGGCTTTCCAGGTACAGGCCTCAATCCGGGAGTAGAGTTACTGCCAGGGGTAGGTGCATCAGTTCGCGGAGTAGGAGTATTGGACTTTGAAACGGGAGTAGTAGATTTTTCATTCTAATTAAGAGATGGAATATATCAGCCAGGAGAATATGATTTTAAGAGTTAATTTAATACTAAAACAGTAAGCAAAACAAAACAAAAAAAGAAATTTAAGAATTTCCTCAGCTTCTCTTATATTTGCATTGATTAAAAAGTAGCTGGCAAAGACTCAGAGAGGCACATTACAGAAAAACCTGCACTGAAGCTGCCCTGAGGTCATCTCTAGAAACCTGATTTCAGTCAGAGGCCAAAGAAATTCACCAACCATGCATCCTGAATGTGGGCCACATGCTGGTAGCCATGGATATGCCTGGCTCCTAACCACTGTTGATGTCCTAAGAAGTACCCTGGATGACTAGCTCCTCTTAGAAAACTCCCACATGAAGCATCATGTAACCCATAGTAGAAAGGAGAGGCCATAAAGAGACAAGCAGAGTTCCAGAAGAAAAGACAAGGGTGTTGAACCCAGACTGTGATCAGGCTTTCCATCCATCATATCCATCCACACATATATTCTGCATCTGCACACAAACTGAAGAATATCCTATCCTTTAGTTGTAAATTCAAAAGGTCACTGAAAACTTCATATGCCTTTTTTAAAAATGAAAAACGTGTTGAGGTGAAAAAAAACAAAAACAGAAACAGGATTTGCTACACACAAATGCAATCAACTCCACAGTCACAGGCAGAGGTATAGGGACAGTATCTTGACTAGTAGGCAATTCAGTCTGGCATTTGTGTTAAGTCAAAGTAGACTTTTTATAAATGACAGAATATTTCTGAGGCAGTAGCTAAAATTATCACAGCTGTGCATAGCTTGGCAATTCAAATGCAGCTCGTAATAAAATGACTAACACCCCAAACCAAGGTCACCACAAACCACAGGCAATAAGACCACCTCCCAAACTCCAGTGTGATGTTTTTCACCCATTATCTCACTTGTAAACGTACAGAAAGACTCAGGAAGCAAATGCCATCAATCTAGTAAACCTTTCTGCTCCAAAACATCTTTTCTAATTAAACTTATATCTGAAACACACATGTACCAATCGGAAATTCAAGCTCTAAGAAAAATGTGAAATATATAAAAAATAAAAATTCAAAAACTATCTTGGAAGTGGCAATTATGGTAAGGATGGGGTAGCTTACAAGGCTAAGCTCTTTGGATTTGGAGGAAGGAGTACTGCTGGAAGATGCAACAGAGGCAGGGCTGATGGGGGCATCTTTCTTCAGGAGGCGTGTCTTGTCCAGGCCATTCTCTCTAGGGGAGTGTGCTGGGCTTCCTCGAGGAGATGATGGATCCTACAAAGAAAAAAATTTAAGACTCACAACTGACTCACAACACCAAGGTCCTTGACTGGAGAACTCTTCTAACTGAAAGCACTTAATAGCTTGCTTAAAAACACAAAATGTTCTGAAAAAGATAACAAAATTAACTGAAATTGCTAAAGGAAACATCTGGTATTGAGGTCAGATTCTAAACAACAACAAAAAGCTCACTAATCTGCAAGGAACATCAATACAGTCAGTAGGGCGACCACTGACACCTGTGAACTTCTTGCGGTGGAAAAGGATAGTGTCAATTGAAAGGAAGGAGCAGCACTTGAGAGGCCCAGCAATGGACAATCGGTAATAGTTTCTCAAAAGTAGGCCACTAGCCTTTGTTACAGTTGCAGAGCAGCAGCGAGGGAAGCTAGCCACAAACGTACCTCATTGGACACATCAACTACTAAGTTGTCATCACTCTTCTCACCATCACTGTCCTGTATAGAGAATGGAGAAGCATTATCTCTAGCCCCAGTAAAAACAAGCAACATCACAGTTTCAGGTACATTTATGTTACCACGCCAGGTCCTTATGTGATGTGATGAAAACTGTATCAAACAGAGTTCTCACATTTTACAATGCACTTATTCTTCATGTTGATGTTATGAGTTAGGAAATGATTCCATTTCCCATTCTTGAAAAATGGAGTACAATAGCTTACTTACTACTCTAAAACTCAGAACACAAACTTCACACCCATCTAAAAACAGACTATAAGTGTGGCGGGGCATAATTTGGTCTGGCAGCATCTAAAAATTCTGAGCAACTAACTCATTGCATAGTTAAACTGTGAGATAAAAATTCAAAGTCTGAGCATTTTGTGAAGTTCACAGTCCTACAGGGAACCAGCTGATGGGAAGCCGAGCAACAAATACCTGCCTCCACACTTCCTACCCAGCAAGCTCCCTTCTCTTATAGTACCTTCCACTAGAAGAAAACGAGTATCAGTTCATGTGAAGAACATTATGGACGTCTAAGCTAACCACATAAAGTTCTGGAAATAAACTACCCTAACAAATAATGTCCTAGTATACCCAGGTCTTAGATTAGATGTTATAGAAAAGCACTGTGGTCATGTATACACATGTACACATATACATGTATGTTTGTGCACATAAACATACACACATAGCTTCAGCTAGTTGATGGAGATAGCTTGAGACACAGCTATAAATACTGTATTTAAAAAAATCTCTTAAGGATAATGTTATCCTATGTTCTACAATTGGCTGGTAATGGTTAAAATTAGCAGCTGATATAAAGAGCAAGACAAACTGGCCTCCACCAAAGCAAAGGTGGATGAACTTACATAGCGAGCTGCAATTTCCTTTTCTTCTGTTTTCTGTTTTTTGCTCTCTGAAGAATAGTCTGTAGAGTTCCTGTGTTTCTCAGAACCTCGGAAACTAGCTGATGGGGATACCGAAGAGCTCTGGAATTAGAAACAGACACTGGGTTGAAAAAAATCATTCACTTAGAAGAGCAATTAAATATTTATTTATTTATTTATTTATTTATTTATTTAGTGCTGTAGTGCATGCCTGGGGAGCTGTTAAAGGGAGACAGGAGACACAGGAGCAGATGAAAGGAGAAAGACAGAGGTACAGAGGAAAAGAAACACAGAAAGACAAAATTGAAAGATGAGTAAAAAAGAGAATAAAAATGACAGCAGGCTGAGTACGAACCCCAAAGAGCAGATCTGGTCTCGAGTATCTCAAGCATCTTGCTCAAGACTTATACAAAGGGAAAGGGAGGAAACACAAGAAACGGAACCCAGGGAAAGATAGGCGTGACTTTGTTTTGTTTTGTAAAGTTTACTGGCTGACACAGAGTAGGTATTTGAAACTTCCACAGAGAAACTGAATACAGTTGAGCTTAAAGGATAACCAGTAGTTTTCAATTAAAAAAATTTAACAAAGAGGAAAATAATCATTAAAGGCTTGAGTAACCAAATGTGGTGGCCATGTGATACATAGGCCATAATTACAGAATATTTTACTCAGCCTACATCTACGGCCTGGAACATGCAGAAGCAAGAAAAAAAATGCCTGCAAACATCAACTGTATTATTTCTTTATGTTCTTCATAAGCCTACTCATTTTGTTTCTGGAAACCCTAAACTCACTGTGGCCAGAGCAAAGGAAGTGGGTTCATGCCTCAGGAAACCACAGTAAGGGGCTACTGGCGTAGGCTCAGGCCACAGGCTTGATGTCTATTCTTTCAACGGGCACTTAACCTGAGGTGTCCCTACATTGGTGACAAGATTTGAAGCCTGAGAAATGTGATTCTCTGCCATGAAAGTCAGCTGATAATTAAGCATATGTATGACAGCTTAAAACTATGGATGGAAAAGTGAAAACAAAAACTACCCTCAAGAATCTGTCAGGCCATGAGCTAGGGAGATGGTCCATTGGCCTTAGTGCTCCTCTCTAAAAACTCCATGTGAATCTGGAAGATACAGCATGTGCCTATAACTCAAGCCCTTCTACAAGGAGACAGAAGGTAGAGACAAGAGAATCCCAGAAGTTTAGAAGCTAGATGGTTTCCTGTACACAGCAGCACACAATAGACTTTTTTTTCAAAAAAATTTAAAGGCAAGGACCAATAATATCTCAAGTTATTCACTAACCTCCACACACACACTCTACCCTTAACAACCCCCACCCCAATCTTGGGCTAAATGACAGAAAAGGCTTTGGTCATTATTCACTAAGAACAAAGACTAAAACAATCAGATGATTTTTGTTTTTATGGTGATGGGGTTCTAACCCAGAGCCTCCCCCATAGCAAATGTTCTCTACGATTTAGCTACATTACCAGCTCCCAAAGAAATTTAGAAGGAGACTAATTAACTTAAATGTCTCTAAAGACTTCTAGTTTCAGTTTATTTCTAAGTCATAAGACTTGACATTTTTGCTTCCTACGCTTACCAATCCCAATTTGGTATGGTTCTATAGTCACTGTAGTAACACACAAAGACAATGGTTTCCAGTCAGAACTTCCTATCTAGTTATTACCCTTAATACGTTTTCCATACTTTTAGAATCTTCTATTTCCCCAAAATAGATTCAGTCATCTATCCTTAGTCTTCTTTTAAAAAAACAACTGGTTTCCTGCAACTTTAGGAAAGACATTTTAACTCCTGATTTTGACTGTAGTCCAAAGCATCCACTATGAGTGCCATTCCATGGTCCTGGCCCTGCCATGCTGCCATCAGTGCATTGAGCATGTTCCCCAGAGCTCTATGTATTTTCACAGCATCTTTATCTTTCTCCATGGGATTACAGAGGTACCCTTTTGCTCAGTATCTTTTAACATAAAATTCAACTCTTAAGGTCAGTTTTCAAAGCTTCCTCAGATGCTTCCTGGCAGAATTAGTTACTCCCTTCCTGTTGTTCCTTAATACGCTGTTTATTCAGTGAACAGAGCATGTGCAATAACTAGACTGCTGCTTATTTACAAAACTCCTCCTACTTCATTCAGACTGTAGCTCCCCTGAAGTGGGCCACCCAGCAAGGTGGGCTGCATAGAACTGGCCAGGAATGTTTTTAAACACAAAGAATTCCAAATGGCCCTCAACATGTGTTTCAATCTAGTTCAAAACTCCTCAGATAATTAAACTGGCGGGAGGTGGGAGGGTAGGGTAGAGGAGGGAATTTGGGAAGAGATATCTAACACCTAAAAATCTTTTGAAAATATCATATAGAAGCTTCCTAAAATATATATACACATAAAAGAGTTTAAATGGAGTTACCTTAAAATGAAGGGGGGGGGGGGGAGAGAAGTAACCCAACCAGAAACTACTATCAAATAAAAAAAAAAAAAAAACCAATACCAGGAATGAATCACTGCTTCGAGTTGTTGGCCAAAGGAATCCCACAAACTCCTATGCATTTAAGGTTATTGCTATTGCTCTTGGTTACCATCTAGAAAATGACAGCAAAACCCTAATGCTAAAGCCACTTGAGTCACAGAATATGATGAAATCAAGTTGATACTGAATTGGAAGCTTCATCTCTATTAGCTAGCTTTCCTAGTGCTGGAGGGTACAATGTATGCTACTGGAGGAGAAATGTTACCATCAGTTGTACTCATCTGTAAACTTCCTAAGTTAGCCTGGCCAGATATGGTCACTGTTGCGATAGTGGCATGACTAAGGGAGTAATCAACTTTCTAATTGGAGTTAGGGTCTGTTCTACAAGATGGAACTCCCATCTAGCACTAACAATGAGGCTAAAAACTTGTGGCTAGATAGGTCATAGGCCCTGGGGAAGAATATATTAATATCCTTCTAAAATGCACATAGCATTAAGATGATTCTTAATCATCTTATTACTATACTCGTAGGTCAGCAAAATCTCTCAATCCTCAACACAGAAGCTACTTCTTACAGGAGGTGGCAATTAACAGACTTACAACTAACTGGTCAATATGCAAAAAGTAAGACTTTGGAGTGATCAAACCTAAATGAAACATATATATCACACTCCACCTCTTCAAGGTAAGGGATCTATTGGACAAGGAGGCTGAAAAACATAAAGGAAACTGTTTTCTGGGTATAAAAGGGCAGCTATCCACAGAATCTCACAGCAGTTACAAAAGCATACACACACAAAGTACATGTGGATGACTGAAGAGGTAGAGGTGGATCTGAGGAGTTGGGGTATGGAACGAACATGATCAAAACACAGTGAATGAAATTCCCAAAGAACAAAAACATTTTTAAAAACCCATTAGATTTATTGAAGAAGGTCACTGAATGAATTTCACAGGTTATCGTTTGAGTAAAATGTGCTAGGGTGCCTTGGAACTGCAAAAAAAGGTTCCACCCTTTCTCCATCTTATTATTTTTTAACGAATAAGATGCCTTCTCCTACCAATTTGGTATTTTACAAATGAAGAATTTGTGTGCGTATGTATGTTTGACGCTATCTAAGCCTTCTGACACTCGACTTCCAGTCATTTCAACTTTCTTCAAAGAAGGAAAAAAAAAACAATTGCTAAAAAATAATGAATACATTCTCAAAAATTAATGCTAAAAAGTAATGCTGTTTTTGTCTTTTTGTTTTCTTTTGTGAGACAGGGTTTCTCTGTTTAGCCTTGGCCAGCCTGGAACTTGCTCTGTAGACCAGGCTGGCCTCAAACTCAGAGATCTGCCTGCCTCTGCTTCCCAAGTACTGGGATTAAAGGCATGCGCCACAACTGGCCTTGCACCAACACTGCCCAGTACCTATTTCGTCTTAGTGCTCATTTACTATCATACATGTTAAATCAAACAGCTTCCTTTTACTTAAGGTTGCTGTTTGTTGTATGGTCAGCTTTCTTTGTATGTTGTATGAATGTATGTGTAGTATGTGTGCACAGCTGTATTTAAGTTTACATGCATGTGTTCATGCATGTGGTATTTGATGCTGGGTGTCTTCCATGGTCTCTTTCCACTTATTTAGGCAGGGTCTCTTGATGAACTAAGAGTCAACCATTTGTGCTAGTCTAGCCAGGCAATTGTTCTACAAGAGGTGTTTTCCTCTTGAATGCTGGGATTACAGAGGGGTCACCATGTCCACCCTGTTTTTGGAGATCTAAATTCCACTGAGTCATCCATTTCTCCAGGCCCCTGCCATAATTTCACTGTAGAACCATTACACATTACATTTTGCTAGTAAAATAATAAGTAATTATCACTAGCACTTAAAGGTTAAGCTGCTCAATGAATATTGAGGTGATCAGCAACACCCTAATAACATAACTGCTCTAGAGTCAAACTGGCTTGGCATGGATTCTCACCACACAGCTTAGAAGTCTACCACTCTGCTACTGGATGGGCACTTGGGTCTTCCCTGAGTATGGGAATGGGGAGACTTAAATGATGATAAAGACAATCATGATTCTGCTAGAAAAGTTTATTTTAACATCTCTTTGATTATCATAAAAGCTTAGTTAAGTTGCTTATTTCCATAGCTTATTACCTAAGACACTTACTGGAACCCCATTAGGGCACTATTCACATCTAAACATTTAGGCTCATTCAGAAAAAAATTTTTTTTTCATTACAATTTATCATAATACAAGCAATATGTTATACATGGATAATCACAGAAACAGATCAATTTAAAAGTCAAAAATACTCTGGATATTAATGTTTTGTAAAGCTCTGCATTTAAAAAAAATCCATTTTTATCAGGAAAAGGAATAAAATGACGTATTTAAAATAAAAAAGTTGGGGGTAACTGTGGATAGCTGCCCTTTTATACCCAGAAAACAGTTTCCTTTATGTTTTTCAGCCTCCTTGTCCAATAGATCCCTTAAACTTGAAGAGGTGGAGTGTGATATATATGTTCCATTTAGGTTTGATCACTCCAAAGTCTTACTTTTTGCATATTGACCAGTTAGTTATAAGTCTGTTAATTGCTACCTCCTGTATACCCCAATTAT